TGTTGTTGTTGCTGTTGCTGTTGTTGTTGCTGTTGCTGTTGTTGCTGTTGTTGCTGTTGCTGTTGCTGTTGCTGCTGTTGTTGGTGTTGTTGCTGTTGCTGTTGCTGTTGTTGCTGCTGCTGTTGGTGTTGGTGTTGGTGTTGTTGTTGTTGTTGTTGTTGTTTCGGATGATCGGATGGTCAATGAACGGATTCCAATGATTCACAATGTGAATTAAATGGGTCTATCATGGTTTATCTGATGGGGCATGTCAAGAAAACATGGAGTCATCCAATGTCATCTACATCAGGTTTTCTTGTATCAGCTGGCTGCGAAACTGCTTGCGGGCGTTCCTTCTTAAAGTATACAGGGTCAGAACAACCACGTCACGTCACCCAGTGTTTCCTGTTTTTCACACATCCATCGAGCCAAGTCCTCCCAAGTCCACTCGCTGCTCAAACGGAGCGTCGGCCGCTTCGGCGGAACTGCACGGATCGGCTGGCGGTAGAGGAGAGCAGAAGGGAGGTGTGCTTGGTGAAGACTAAATCCTCAGGAATTCGCCAAGCTCTGCGCTCAGGAATCGCGCAACCAAATAAGCTGAAGCATGGTTACACAATGTTACACACAAAAATATCATCCATGTCCAGCTTGCAGTTGCCTAGGATACTGACCACTCGATGCCTAGGCATATGATTAAACCCCGTAGCGTCCCTCAACCATCATGATCTATGGATTGGCGGCTGCACATGAATCGAAACAGGTCAGTTTGCTTGTTGTTGTGTTTGTTTCTGTTTTATAGGGCCGAGTCGAGTCTGAAGACAATAGACTGCATTTATTGGAAAGCACAGTCTGACTGTTGATCTCTCTCCAAAGTTCTCTGTCTCCTTTGTTTCCTTTTCTTTTTAAACGAGTTATTTCAAACAAATCCAAACCCGCAGATCCATCCAGATCCATCCTGCAGCCAGCACTCGGAGGACCCGACCATGGTTCCAGCCACGAGCCAGCACGGACCCTTTCAGTCCCTCCTCACCCTCTGCAGACCAGTGTAGAAGACCAGTCAAAGGCGAGGCGACCGGTTGAAGAAAGTGACCGGTCACCGGTTTTCACCATGTGCAGTTTTTTAGTCAGACCATCTGCCTGGTGACCTTGTGGTAACCTTTGTGACCAGTCGAAAGTCAGGGAAGACCTGGTGAAACTCTGCTTACTTAGACCTTTTTGCGAGACAAAGTGACCTGTCACTGTGTCACCCATCTTCAATGAAGAACAAGGTAAATAAGCTGTTGAGAAAAGGAAACTGTTTTCAAGATTGGAAACAATAGAGGTCCATGTCCATCTGGTACTACAGACTCGATAGGGCTGGCTTTTGCACCAAAGCTTTTTTTTCCAGTGGATATTCGAGACCTTTTAGCAGTGGATGCTTGAGTGCGGGGATCGCAATGAATTGTCAATTTCTATCTGCCTTTTGTGAGTATAACATAAACGGACTGATCAATTTGATGGATTTGATCAACTTGATATAATTTGATCCAGCTTGCTTGATTTGTTTAGAGACTCTATTAGAGACATGGAGCATGCTACCCACATGCTGGGGTTTCGTTGCAACCTCTGTCACAAATGAAAGTCGTTTCATGTTGTTTCATGAGTTTCATGTCGTGAAATGTCGTATACTAGAGTCTGGTTTTTAGTGCTTGCCATGGCTTCGCCAAACACATGGGCTGTTGCGAATACGCACGACGGCTCGACGGCTCGACGGCGAATCGACCCCAGGCTCGACGGCGGTATGGGTCTGATCCAAAATATCCTTGCAGGATTTCACCTTGGACGGATTGGCGCCGATTCGCACACTTTCTTGCCGCTATCCAACATCTGGTCTGAGCAATTTTTACACATGAACATCTTGTGATGTCGGTTGAAAATTGGGGAAAGCCCTAGCGTCTAGTCGGTGTGTCATCTTGTCATCTGTATCAGCTCCACCCTAAATACACAAAAGATGTGTGATTGGTCCATTGGTGGCCTAAACCATCTGCCAACACAGAAGACGAGTTTGTCAATTAGACTTGGAAGGAAACAAAAGGATGGATATTATCTATTCTGATAGCAGCAAAGCACTCATATCATCATTCCCAAATAGGGACTGACAATAAACATATTCAAACATATGAGCTCTGCAAAATACGTATGATTAAACCCCTATGTCACAGTGTCACATAACGTTCTTACGCTCCTGCTTACGCCTTTCTTACGCGACCACAATGTGAGCTTACGCGCCACGGATGTTGAAGAAGACCTTACGCAGATCTTACGCATCTGCATTTTCACAGATGAGAAGCATACTCCCAAGGGAAATGCTTACGCGAAGGCTCCTGTTTGCAGGTGAGCGGGCGACAAACACATGATCACTAAGACTCCGAAGCAGAGGAAGCAAAGAATCACTAGCATCTACTTACTGGCTGCTGTAGGCAAATGAAAAGTTGGCTTACGCGAACCTTACGCGGAGCTTACGCGAACCTTACGCCACCAAACCCTCACCAAACGGAGCCTGGCATGTTATGACATGTTATGATGGGTCTGACTTAAGAAAGGTTTGATACAGAGTGGCAAACACAAACAAGCACAGTGCACACACCTGAAACACAGTGCACACAAATGTCAGTTCCCAAGGGTTTCAGAGCTCTCATGGTCCATACAGTTCCTTTCTTGACACATGTGTGCTAAGAATCTACTAATGAAAACACAACCATATGGCAAGCTTACGCAACTTTCTCACAACTCCCTTACGCAACCTTACGCTCTTCAGGTTTTTGCTTACGCCCAAGTTCCATATGACAAGGCCTTTACTTAGTTCATCTTGGGAGGTTTCTTGCGGTGCTCACATGATGTATATATACACACACACACCTAGAATGACCTCTATTTTGGACCACCAACCACCCAAAGTATGGTCTTTTCATATCAAAACAGGAGTCATGTCTGTGATCAAAAAAGTAAACAACATAACTATATATTGCTTTAAGACTTGAGTTGTTTGGAATATGCATGTGTAGATATGTGTGTGTATATATAATATATACACACACATATCTACACATGCATATTCCAAACAACTCAAGTCTACTTAAAGCTTCAACACCTGTGGGCAACCTCATTCGCGCGCGATCAACCAACTCCAAGGCACTAAGTGGACCAGGGACCATGGGCCGCCCGAGGGATCGCCCAGCACCAGCTCGAAGAAGAGGGAACACACCAAGGAGATGATCCTGAGACCAACTGAGACCACAGAAAAAGAAAAACAGTCACACAAAGAAATGAGAGGATCTCGGGACACAGATCTTTTTTAACAAATGAACCAATATGACAAATACATATATAATCCTATATATATATAAATAAATATAGAGATATTATGAGAAGATCCTGGCATCTGCTGGACCCGCTGGACCTCATGTGTTCTCCAAGGGAGATGGGTTTGGAGATTCGGGACCGTGGGTGTATCGGACGTCCGACTGGTCAAGCAATCCGGTTGGGACTGGCAACCGGTGAGATAGATTGACCATCATTTACCCTATTGTACCCCATGACTCTGCAAGTCAACAAATGGATAAACAGGTATACACAGTATCAGTCAGATTCAGTAACTATTCCGTACATGGATGCTCTGGGAATGGTCATGGAGAAAGTTGGGTTGGACATCACATCTGATCAAATGGGCTACTACTGGGCTACTGGATCCTCGGGCTATAGGGATAGATGATCTACATGACCAGGAATAAAGATCCTAGGACGGGGTGGGTGAACAACGCTGGTGGCCTAAAGTACGTTGTTCCATTCAGGGGGTGCAACAACGGAATTTCAACCCACACTCTTGGTGAAGAACAAAACGGTCCTGCCACCTGGGCAAAATGCCTTCGATTGGTATTTGCAGTGGACTTGATATGACGGTATCATTGGGTGCTGCTCTTGGATAGGGCTTCGCAAACTTTGCCGTCACGTTCTGAGATCTAACATGGGCCATCCCCCTAGACCCCATGGTTTGTTCCCATCGTTCCCAGTCTCGCCTCTGCCCCAACCGGAGGACGTACAGCGACACGACATCGCAGTCCGGTCGAGCAGCTCGCCCACCAAAACCGAGACCACCTGCGCGTGGATCAGCACCTGAGACTCGGATCGATGAAACAAATTCCTCGTCCTATATGGATGGGTCTGGTCTGACTGGTGCGGTATGATAACTCTGCAGAAGGGGTGAACTGAACATGTGCCTCGGTTGGAAAGCTGGCATACTTTGCCAACAGCTGGTGTTTTTCGACCAGCTCCATGTGGCTATCCAGAATCCCTGAGCAACCGGTGGATTCTATTTTTCTACAGTATATCATATTCTCGTGGGCAAGGTTGCTGTACTTCAACACACACACACACAAACACACGCACGTGATACCATCGGTCTTCGGTATCAAAAGGGCTCGACTCGACCAGCCCCAGTCCCCGAGACTCGACCAAGTCGCCCAGCCAGAGACCATGAAGCCAAACATCACCGCTGCACAGGAGATGCACATGGCCGAGAACATGAAGGACAAGTGGCCTCAAGACCAATCCACCAATCATCTTGAATGAACATCCATAATCGTAATGCTACATCCATGAAGCCAAGGCATTTTGGTTTGACCAACGTTCGCCTGCAAGCCCAGTCGTTTGGTTTTCGGGTGTTAGCGATTTCATGTGATTTCTGGGGCAGCGGCCCACTGTACTTGGAGGTTACTGGCAAAGCTCAACAAAAACAAGTATACAGTAAATAGAATGTGGATGAATGTGGTATTGGTTTGGAGCACCCGCCGGAATTAGTTTTCACAGCGATGTGGCATCACTGGTGCAGAGGATCCGAAAGATCCAACATAGATCACTTGCAGGACCATGATTTACAACGCTCAAGAACCCACGTGGACCCCGTGGTTTTGGCACCCTGGAAGACTGTTTTCTGACGTTCTCTGTATCGCTACCCAAGGGACGCTTAGAGCTACCCAAGGGACGCTTAGAGTTCTGATGGTTCACCATTCAGTGGGTGTTCAGGGTCCATCTGTTACATCTAAAGGCCTCTTCAGCGGGGGGCCAGCAACCATGACTGCATCTCAGCTTGCGGCCTCTTCCCCGGTGGATCGCCAAGAAGTTGGGAGTCTCTTTCCCCCCCAAGTCTTTTTAGGTGTTGCAGGGAATTGTTCTCCATCCCGCAGTTGGACACTTGGACAAGCAACCTTCATGTCTCAATGTGTAAGGTTTTAAGGTTGGCACGTCAACCTGGACGCGTTTGGGCTTTTTGTTGGGATGCTGTCTTGTCTCGTGGCCATGGTACCACGAAGGACTTGGAAGGTGCCAAAGATGGTGAAGACGGCGAAGCAAAAGCTGCAGATCTGCACCGGATCCTCCAGGCTTGCGAACTCGAGGCGAAGCGGTCGCGCTTCGCTCGGATCGACCAGCGCCATGCGAACGAGCACGGAACGGGCCAAACGAGACTTGCAGGAACATTCTCTTTGGCAGGGCCGACCTGGCATGTACTTCGGTGCACCTTTCTTAGTCCGTGGTGAGTGAGTCTCAAGTATCTTCAAACTACAATTGAACACCACCCTGGTTCCACGGTGGCATTCGGGATCTCCTGGGGTCTAGTGATAGTGAGGCGAGTGCTGCTGCCAACACTACGATACTTCTCCCGCAAGCTAGTACGCCTTGCTCAAATGAAGCTCTGCTCACGAAACCGCTTCCCTCAAAAAAGCTAAGACTTACCAGGGTTGGATGATTTGAATACGGAACGAGCATTGACCGCCCCTGTGAGAAACCCTTGAAAAGAAGTGGTATCATCCACTTCGTAAGGGTTTATAGGTTTATCAAACTCCACAGGAGTCAAACACCTTGGATCCTATGGGTCGCATACCCGGCATCAGCAAACTGCCTATAGCTGCCCCTTTGTTAGATGTACAGAGCTGCCAACCGACAGTGGATGTAGAATGTAGAAAGCTCCTTACCCATGACCTCAATGGAGAGGGCCATCAGGATGGCCAGAAGTGATCCTGGGTCGCCATACACACCGAACACCAAAAATTCGACGACCAAAAGGGTGCCACGAAGAAAACTGGCTGCCATGTGGTCAGCAAACAACATGAAGCAAGTTGGAGCAAGAACTTTTGGCAGATCCACATGGAAAAAGACCAAGATTCCCTATCCCCAGAAAACATGGTTGGTGAGAGAACCATGAGAAAACCCTGCTCCTGGCTGTTTCATGCTGTTGAGGCCCACTTCTTTTTTGATGTGATGGAAGAACGAGGCATCCCGTAGGAGATGGATCCGTGTTAAGCAACAGCCGAAGGTCCGAGAATGGGCGGTCATGTCCGTCATGTGGCTAACAACCGTTGGTCTTACTCACTCAAGATTCTGAGATTGGATGGGCGTGCAATTATTTTGAGAGAGAGAGAGAGAAAGACCCTCCGGCCCAGTGTGTTTGGGTCTATTTGCCTTCTTCCAAGGGGTCGGAACGCCTGGCGAGGTCTCCCTATTTGAGCTACACGCCCTTTTGTGAAACTGACAAATCTCCTGAACATATCCAAACACTTGTGGTACAGCTTGGGTGCTCCCATGACTCGGGAGCCTATGACTGATTGACCTCAATTCCGAAGAAAGCGCCGGGAGATCCGGGAGGGCGACCTGCAACGCATCTGGGGATTCCCCAAATTCCCGACCCCAGACTCTCGGACAAGTAGAGGGGATGTGAGCCGTAAGGTCTGAGAGGGGATGTGAGCCATCATGAAAGTGGATAGACTACCGGAAGACCACGTTCCTTGCCAGGGTGGTGCTGCTCAGCTTCGCTTGTTTCAGGGAAGGCTCTGACCATCGTGCCACAGGTTGAGAACCCCAGGCACATGCCGCAAGTGCGGTCTGAACATGTGCCACATGCTGCAAGTTCAGGACTGAGAGAGGGATTCATTGTCCAAAAAGGGCCTCGAAACACAAAAAGACCCTGAACAACACACAGCTCAAGGCTGGGCCTATAATTCGCATGTGGTCTTCAACTGCCTTCCAATTTGCCCACCTATAAAGAAAGTATCCTTCTCTCTTGCTGCAAACTCTTGGCTCTTCCATCGCCCATCAATCGTTCATGCCCCAAGTTAGGACCTTCCCTGCTCCATTCCACCAGGCTTCCGCAGCAGGTGCCCGCCAGCCGCTGCAGAAACTTCAGGATCAAACGCTCCAAGGTGATGCCTTCGGAGCGGACGAGGGAGGCATCGAAAGCTGAGAAGCGTCGGTTCGAGCAGTTCGTCGGTTCGTGCGCAGCAAATAACATTTCCAGGTGTTTAAAAAACAACTTAAAACATATCAAAACTAATCTGGATCAAACATCCAGGAGTCACAAGGGGTGGTGTTTAGTCCCATCCAGTGAGCGGATCATGGGCACCTCTAATCTCCATTAAGCGTCCCTTTGTGACTGCTGGATGATAGAGCACCCAGACTCATCCAGCTGTGATGCCCCAGATTCTGCCTCGTGACCTCACCTTGGAGACCCTGCCTGGTTCCATGAGGAGGACCACGGTCACGATGGCCGTGCTTGCTTGGAAGCGGTTCCAAGGTGCTGCCATGCAATCTCCCAGCGTGCGCCTCTCAGCTCAGAGAAGAGACGACCACTGAGACCACAGTAGAGGCGAGGGGCCACAGTCGGTGCTGTCACAGTGACAGCCGTTGTGATTGGGAATCAAATCAGAGCCAATCATCACGATTCTCTTGAACATGTAGGAACATATCATAACCATGATGCTGAGATTAACGGCCAAACTCTATGACACTCTACGGTCTTTTCATGGCTCATCATCGTTTCACAGACCTGTGCATGCATAGAATGCACATTACATGACTACAGGTAGAGAGAGGCGTCCAATGATACGGTTTGCCCTGATGTATCACAAGGAAATCATTGCATGCTTCCCCCTACAACTCTTGGTGAACCAAAAGTTGAGCACACATGTCGTACTACAGGCCCAAAAAATGGTTTTCACAAAGGTTCATCGAAACAATGCAGAAGTTCCCGGAGTTGCATGTCGTTCTCTTGCCTAGGGCCTATGGCAAGGGGCTGCCCATGCTCCACCCAAACATGGAACTCTTTTCGAAGAGGACGTGCCCTTTCCATCATCCAAGTCTCAGAAGCAAGCAAATAGACACCGCCGTGCCAAAGGGCAACGTCTTCCTCGGTTGGAAACGGGTCTTCGGTTGCGCGTGCCAGGCCGTTTGGCGAAGCAGACGTCTTCGTCTCGACCACCCCGACAGTGGGCCCCCAAGATGGTGTTGAACAAGTTGACCTCACAAGGATGAGTCATTTAGTGTGGAAAAGGTCATGATGTGCATAGCCCATTAAGGTGCACACGTCACATGGGATGAGGCAGCTTTGGACAAAAGTAGCTGTGCTCGTCTGTGTGGAAGGGCATAAAGAGATGTTTCGTAGTGTGAAACCGCTGGCCAAGTATACATTTCCAGTCAAAAATACCTGACTATTGCCACTAGGTCCTGGATGGGATTCGGCACAGGGCAAGATTGATTGGTGATTAGAAGCACTGGCAACTCTTAACAGTGTTTACTAGTGCTTAATCCGGCTTATATAGTATTAGCATGTATCCACAATGAAAGCTTACAGCTTCGCCCCCACTCTGTGCTTTCTTCTTGGGTGGTGCACCGGTATCAGCCATACTTCAATCATGCAATCATGTCAGGGTCAAAGACGCACTTAGTTGCATGGCGCCGCACCCAAACTAACCACCCATGGGCTGGCTTCCCCTTGGAACAGTGACGACCCAATCCAACGTCTCAAGGCATGTTGCGCTGACGAACTACTGCTGAGACTGAACATCCTGCAACAATAGCAACTAGTATCACAAATTTGGCATGGTGGTCCGCTGTTGCTGAACCAACACAAAAGCAATGATGAAACTTAGGGGCTGCCATGGCTGCCATGGTGGGATTTGTTAATCCAGTGCAACCAACCCATGCTCCACACCGCATCCAGTGGTCGGCCATCCGCCTTAGATCATCCAGGCATCCTCAACAAAGGCCGTCCGCCAGCCCAAGCGATCGCCCAAATGGTTAAGGCAGGGAGGAGGATTGCCTTCCACGCACGCGCATGCCTGGGGGCGACCCGCGGTACTGGTGAACAAGCGGCCTTCGCACGTGCAAACAATCGCTTCATCGCAACCGCTTGTTGAGAAGGGAAAGACACACAGTTGCCAGTTGAACATCTGAGAGCACAGGGGAGCGCCGATCTAAAAGAACACACGCGCAAAAAAATAATCAATCAATACCCTAGGGATCCACATACCTTCTCAGGAGGTACTTGGGCCCTCCAAGCCTACATAAATAGTCTCCAATCACCTTCTGAGAAGGTACTTGGATCCCTACGGATAGTACAAGTTGTTCAGCATCTTCAGGCGACAAGGATTGAATTGAGACGTAGTCGTCATATGGCAGACTTGCCTCCGCCACCAAGGTCACCTGAGGTCAACGGAGCTTTTGTCACCATGGAGGGATCATCGCAAACGGTTCAAGCATGGTTTTGGCGCTCCCCCCGCACAATGGGGGTTGCCTACTAGTAGTAAGGCCAGGAGCTGCTAGTAGCGGCCTTGCTCCTGCTTATATTACATGATTTTACCAACGGATATATACACACGGCACTTACAATAATTATTTTGGAAACCCGGACATACACATCATCTATCTATGTGGGACACGGCCTGGTCTGCAGATGATGTGGGACATGACCAGCTGGCTGTGAGTGGCAGTCGCCTCCTGGTAGCACAAGTTGCCAAATGCAAACCCTTTATATGAGCCCTTTTTTGGCCTTATGATGTTTATCACTCCCAAGGCAAGTTCCACGATCGGAACAAAGCAATCACTCATGAAGTGTTTTAATCCCATTGCCAAACAGGGACAAGTCTGGATGCCGTACTGTAAAATACCCGTTGACTAGGCTCGACACGCCATGGCTCATCATCAGCGACAAAAGCCAACCATCAGAAAACAGTCCCACCGTCCTCTATGATGGCAACTTTACAAAGGCAACCCCCAAGTTCACATTGGATCACGAGAAGGAAGCTGCCTTCCAAAACCAACCGGAGTTCATCCGAGTCCCATCTCACGTGCCCGTCACATGCCCGTCACAGACAGCACCAGGATCGCTTCAAGGCAAGGCACATTGGGCACCTCCAAGATCATCAGCCCCACAAAGGAATCCTGGATCTTGGCTCTGCCCTTGAGCCAAATGATCCTGCCAGAAGCTCCTGACCCAAGGGTCATCTCGGTAACTCTGCTAAAAAACCACGTAAGAACCACACACGAAAACCAAATACAGGAACACCAACTCCAACAGAATCCTCCGATCGATGTACCATTCTGACGGTCGCCGTGAATCACGACTGTTCTCGGCAAAGCTGTGGGGACCCAGGCCCATGGGCCCACTCCGAATTGGGAGACACACTATGCTCTGCCTTTTCAATTCCTCCATGTATCAAGCAGAACCTCAGTGGTAATTATATATAGCCCTGGCCCTTCATAGCAATTAAATGCTACTTAGGTATAACTTTCCCTGCTTTCCCGATCAACAATTCCAGCTGCGGCTACTGGATGGCTTCCAAAGCCAAGAAAATAATAGAGGTCTGGTGAGTCAGTGAACCCATCGAAACCCTGAGCATGTTTAGCAACGTTATACAAAGTCATCGATCCCCTCTACTACATATAGACATAATCCGATGCACCAACTAAATCAGCAAAAACAATCAAACAACAACTGTCTCCCTGTAAAATTCCAACGCACTGATCGGTAAATCTGGACAAACCTCAAAGCTCTACACCCGTACTAGATCCGGAAACAAACACAACATCAGAAAAGTAGATTTAAATCTGGAGCTTCGAACACTCTACCTGCCCAATTGGATGCGCCACTACCTGTGCTTGGTTCCAAACGCCAGTTGCTCAACTTTCGCCTCCAACCTGAACACGCCATGCCCCCGGGGTCCCAACGCAAGTCATAAAGATCTAGCTTTACGATCATGTCGCAAGCACTCCATGTCTTCAAACGTGCAGGTGACACGATCGGGTGACCTATCGGGTGTCGAGTCTGCACAGCGGGAACGAGGAACGTCGCCTGTTGAGTATCCACGTTGATGAAGAGATCCCAAACGTTTTGGGACGCGGAAGGTCCACCTAGATTGACAACTCTTAGAAAGGGCACTATCGTCGTCGTCTTCCAACTGACCCTCTGTTTTCGTCTATGTCGCCTGGAAAGGCGACCCCCACATGGCAGCTGATGGACCAATTGCTGGAATGTATCTGACCACTTACAGAACGACAGAACAGGCGGTTCCAGCCAAAGCTGGTGGCGGTTCGACCCAAAGCTGGTTTGCTAACGACCTGGCCACATAGACTTCTCATGTGGGACGGACCCAACTATATAGAGTGAGAATGCTACGTGGACTTGCAAAATGGAAACTTGAAATGTGATGAAATGTGTAAGCAGCTTGTCATAATTTGGTGCTCCCCCTTCCCCTAAAAGGGAAAGCCGGGAAAGCAATTTACATCAAACGTGTCATTCTTCGCGTATTTTTCGTGTCTTCGTGGAGCATACCTTGATCGCCCAGAAAGACCTAGGACCTGTAACGCCTGTTGTCATGTTCAACGGACACCATCGGGTCACATCTTAAGGTCCCGGCTCCTCCAAGCGGGCCTGGAGTCGGATCAGCCCGATCGGCCCGAAGCGATCGGTTTGGAATCTGCCCGATCGGAGTAGGGCCAATCGAAAAGGTGATTCGTTTCTTGAGCCGAAGAAAGGCAAGTTCTATCACCACAAAACAAAGTAAGCGCCATGTTTGGAATAAAAAGGCATTGGCCACCCTAGCAACCATTGATATCATAACTGTTCCCTGAAAGGATATGGGTCTGGACTGGGAATCATGTAGGTGTCCCTATCTCAAATCCATCTCCAGGTAATGAAATGACCCGTACAAGGCCGCCAGTTGGGTGACATGGATATGCTCATTGACCCCAAGTAGGGCCAATGTGGGCTGTCTTACAATGAGGAGCATCTTTATTTCATCCAGTCGTGGGCCTGGGTCAAAATGAAAGACCGAGCGACTACACTCAGGCTCGTTGAGGTGTTCACCATGGTTTTTTGCAAGGCATTGTCCGCAAGAGTACTTTGCGTCTAGATTCCATTGGGCCTAGGCGATCTTTTAGTTTAAGAATGTGGGCCTCCACCAAATGCTTGAAGTAATAAGCAAGAATACTTGCGACCCCAGCACACAACACACACATACACACTGCGGCAAATTGCTCTAAACAGTCCCAGCCTTCAGTTTCCTTTCCATTCTCTCACTGCCTCTGCGCTCCTGATCAGCCCCGTCAGCCGATGGATCCACAAGTGAAGGCAACTACAGACATCACATCACCTCAACAATACCTCAAACGGAAAGGTAGCCCAGGGCAACAGTGGAAGGCAATTTTTTTTTCTGCTGGGCGATCTCTTTCTCAATCTTACAGATCATCACATCGCCCAATATAGAACCACCATGAACAATTAACATATGTTTAGACTGCCAGCAGCCCCCATGTTCAGCTCACAAACCTAGCATCGTGTTCATATCCATATATGGATAGTACTTGGGGGACAGATCCGACAATTGAAATTCTGAAATATCAAGCAGAAAAGATACAAACATTTACATTATCAAACTATGGATGCATATGCATGCATCATCATTACTAGGAACAAGTGCATCGCTACTAGTAACAAGTGCCTTACTACTAGTAACAAGAAGCTAGTAGTAAACAAGCATCATCATGCATCTAAATTCATTACACATCCAGGTGTTTTGTGGGACCGAACGCACGTTCCTGAGACCCTGACATGTACCGAACCACGAGTGTGGTGCTGGTGCCGCTTGCTTCTATATTCCGAGAAACTTGATTGAAGCAAATACAACTATACTTACAATATCTTACTCTATCAAAAACAGTTGATGTTTGGGATGCACACAGCCAAAAATCCAAGTTGGCCACTGAAATGTCGGCGTGATGAATGTCCTAGTCGGTGTGCATTGTTTCGCTGCCACGTTTGGAAGGTCACAAAATATTTGCCCATGGCCAAATTCCCACAACTTCCCCTGACTTCCACAGAATTCTTTAGATTTCTTCGCAAACATCACCTATACTAGAGGGTCACCAACTGATGCACTTCTTAGCACTTTTGCCAGAAAGGGTGTGTGGCCAACAACGGTCCAAAGGAATGCCAAGACAACGGCCCCCCAATAAAAACATCAAAAGCAGCGGAGTGGCCGGATGGCCCTCCTCGAATCGAGAGGTCCTCTCCCTTGAAGAGTCCTCTGCCTGGGACCGGCGTTCGAGACATCGTGTGGACGACCGGAGATGACCGGTGGTGCTTTCTTCCAGGGCTCCGAAGAAGCGCCTGGGCTCCAAGTAATAGCAATGGCCTCCAACATTGCAGAAAAGAAGAGAAGTGAAGACGGGTTCCTTTTAGGTGAAAGATGGTGAAAGGCACATCACATCACAGCCTTGATGAGTGAGGTCAGTTCCTTCCCCCTTTTGCACAGCCCGGCTTGACGCTTTGACCTGTTCTTGAAGGCTCTACAGGTTGGTTCTCAACCCGTTTCAGATTTCAACAATCAAAAAGCATGGTTTGGGTGGATCCAAAAAGCTGGTTGAGTCGAACCACCAAGGAATCACCTGATTTGGGGAGAAAAGAACCCTGCAAGTTGCAATCCGATAAGCAGCCTCAAACAAATCAACTAACCACCCCGCGATTCCATCGATGAGCCCGTCGTTGGTTGCTGTAAACAAAAATAACACGTCGACCGTCTTGTAGTCATTCACAGCTGGTGGTCCCCTGGCACCTGGATGGGGACCACCAGCCAGCTCCGCGAGGCTGGACACAGACTGAAGCTGAGGAAAGAGTTACCTTCAACGAGAAAGGGATTGCCAGAAAAAGAACTGACTTTCCAAAAGAATGCCACGGAAAATGCCCCGAAATGCACCAAAGCTCTCAGAGCTCCTTTGCTTTTTGACTGCGGTTACGGTTACGGAATCATCATGGAAGTGGATGGCACCACCTATTTGTACAGGGAAAGGGTCATCCAAGGGGCCATAGTCCACTTGCATGGTGATTCCAGGGAGTGTACAAACATTGAACATCACTTGTTTCTTTTTTCTCCGTGTGTGTCGTTGGGCCGCCAAAACCTGAAGTGGTCACCAGTAGGCCGGACATGGCCGAACCACCAAACGGGCACTCCTGGAAACTCCAACCATCAAACCATGTGGACTTCCTCGTGCCGCTGGACTCTCTCAAGTTGCAGGTTTAATTACTGTACATCCAAAGTTGTGGGCAACTGCCCAAGCAATCTCCAGGCACCGATCTACTTCATCGATCAGCATCACCGATCACCTCTCATCGAACTCGCAAAAACATCTGTCACGCCTGGTCTTGGAGCATCCGCTGATCGGCCAAGACACCTTGGGAGGACACGGGTGGTCACGTGGGGACTGGCGATGAACGCGGGCGCCTGGTGTTGACGGTGTCATCCCGGTGTCATCCACGAGAAGAAGGATCTTGAAGACCTGATGTGTGTGATCATTTCTGATGTGAGGTAGGTGACTGTGGTCAAACAAAATACTGATGGGCTGTTGGATGTATTTGGTCACTGAGACGTCTAACACCAGATATGAGGCATATGCTGAAATGTGTGTGTGTGTGTGTGTCTCGGTATGTGTGATGTGTACATGTGTACCAACTGACTTACGGGGTGTAAGACTGCTTACGGAGTATCAGCGTCAAGTCCGTCAAGTGATTTCAGGTTGGCACCCTTCTAAGAACCAAAAAGGTAATGAACACTGGACGCCGAACACGAAAACACTTGCTCAGAATATTTTCAGATCTCGAGGAACTGGGTACCAACCAGCACCCGACTTATATTGACTCTTCCTGATTGGAGGGACCCCAGTGGGCCAGTTTTCCAGGGTCTCAGCTGCCCCAACCGGTGCTGAAATCCCTAGCAATCCACAGACCTTGAGAAGGCATGGATTCTCCGACCTTGAGGCAGACTTGACAGTGAACTGTTGAGCTTCTCCGCCAATTCTTCTCGTTTTCTCAGGGCACCCGGCGTTCCAAGGCCACCTCCACACCTTGGATCTCCTCAAGTTCGCTGCACTCGGCAGGATCCATCCGGATCATGTCCACTGGATCAGTAGGTCCCCACTGGTCCCCCTCATACAACCTTGAAACAATATGGTTCCCTCATACAACAGCCAAAAGACCTGCGATCCGTTCGTGAGTGTACATTGAAGCATTGTTATCCTTTTCAAGCCACCTTTAAAGGCATCGAAATCACTACTCCCCCCCAAAAAGGCTGAACATATTAACATCAAACATATATATATATATATATTATACCCCGGTTCAAAACTCTCAAAAACATGCTGCATGCT